GCCGCAGTCGTGTGGCGGGGAAGATCGCGGGGAGTCCTCTCATCAGAGGTGTCTTGGGCGTGTTTTACTTAGGCTGGGCAAGATCCATTCCTCTTTTGAGTTTTAATGTCTAAAATTGGACGTCTGGAAGTCTGAATTAATTTCTAGTTACTGTAAATGCGATCAAGGTTAGTTTTGTGAGCAAGCCTTGCCTGCGAACTGACTGCGTGGTAGCTGCGTACCTCAAACGCTGCTGGCCTTTGAGAGCGTGGGGTAAGAGCTCAGTGCGGCCGAGCCGAGTCTGCCTACGGTGGGGAAGCGTTCCCTTTGCAGCCTGAGGAGCTGTAGTTATATATGTGTGTGGGTGCAGGTGTGAGCAGGTGTACATATGTATATATTTATAACGTTGTGTATCTGTAGATACCAACATTAGGAGACCAGTCAATGTAATATTTTTCAAGAAAAAAACTACAGTTCAGATTTGGTCTTGTAAGTACTGCAAAAGAATAGCCAATGAGAAAGTAGGAGTTAAGGTCAAAATATGTTTTAATTACTAGAAATCCTGAGATATTTTGGCCTTCCATTTTATTATCTCAGCCATAAAAAATGCAATGTTTGTGTTAGTGAGTGTGTTTGATTTGCTTTAAATGGGAAAGCGTGCTCTTCCAGCACTTCTGCCTGTGTTATCAGTTATATATGATTTGAATCAAGTTTTACAAAATGATTGCATGTTGAATATACTTTAAAATACCATGACTAGAGTGATATCCTAAGAGGAACTTGAAACATGAGGAAAAAAATGGAGTTGTTCATACTATAGGAATGATAAAGTAGTGATTTGACTTGAGAGATGAACACTTTTCTTCTCAAAAGCAAGGTATTTCTGAATGCTTCTCAGACTCTATTATAAATGAGTTATAAAATCAGGTTTGACAAGTGAACTGAAAAGCACCCAGGGGACCGTTGTGCTTTGTGCCAGCGTCTGAGCAAGTCCTTGAATTGCACAGAGATTTTGAGAGAGTGCACAGGGGCAGATGTGTTAACACATGAATGGGTAATTGCTGTGTTTTAGACGTTTCAGTGGGGCAAAAGCCTTCAGCAGCTGCAGCATCGGGGACTTTGAAACCTTCCTGAAGCAGAACAGGGATTGCCCTTTCATCAGGCACGCTCTGCGTCAGCCTTCCTACCGCGCGGCCGTCTGCGGCAACAGCGTGGTGGAGCCCGGCGAGCAGTGCGACTGCGGGGCGGCGGCGGTGGGTGCCGCTAAATATGTACATTTGTGCTGTTTGTACATTTAGAATAATGAACACTTGAGACTAAGGGCACAGCTGACAGAGGACAGCCCAAAAAGGATTATGTCATGTTTTAGATTGTTTCCATGATGGCATCAATCTGACAGCAGCTTTACCCAGTTTCTTCTGCTAGATATTGCCCAAGTGTAGCTTTTTGGGGAGAAGGAAGAGAACCTCTGACAGTAAAAACCTCTGGGGGAATAAAAAAGCGGAGTAACGTGATTTTTTTGATCTGTCCCCAGGCATGCTTGAAGGATAAATGCTGTACTAAAACATGTCAGTTTAAGCCAAGAGTGAAATGTTCCTCTGGGTTGTGTTGTAATGACTGTCAGGTAAGGCACATTTTCATAATTATCACAAGATCGTTATTTCTTTTTGGAGAAATAGTGGGTCCCCGTGCTGGAGGATGGGGAGAAACTTTCCGCTGTGCAGTCGGAGAGGTTGCCGGGGTCGGGCTTTCCAACCCAGCTGCCGGAAAGCCCTGGGAGGATATTACCGGGGGAAGACTGTCTCGGGCAGGGTAACGTGCCTGTGGGACCTGGGTGCCCCAGAGGCGATCCCGAGGGGCCGGGGATGTGCATCAGGACGGCGTCGGGAGGGGCCGTGTGGGGCCTGAGAGGGGACCACGCCGGTGGGTGCGGAAGGATGGAGGGAAGAGCCCTTTCTGCCTCCTCTGCCAGTTCAAGCAGAAAAACGCGCAGTGCCGCCCCGCCGCCGATGCGCAGTGTGACCTGGCCGAGTTCTGCAACGGGTCCTCCGCCTCCTGCCCCCCCGACCTGGACGTGCAGGACGGGCACGGCTGGGAGCCGCCCCTGCCAGTCGCCGGACCTGCAGTGCCGGCGGCTCTACGGGAGAGGTAACGGCTGCTCCGTCGTCACTGGTACTGCGGGAACAGCCCAGGTGCAGGAGGGTGGCTGCAGTAGTAACGATGCTCACTCTGTGTCTTTGCTCTTTAACGCAGCAATCTCGGGTTGGCCCCATCGTGTATTTTTACCCTGGTTTTGGTCAAAATGAGGGTTTGTGGTTGGTTGGTAACTCTTTCTGATGCTTCCCCCGTGAGCCTGCACCCGGTTTCAAGCACCTGTGGAAGCAGGAGGGGTTTAGGGACTCGCGTCTCTGGTGTGAGTGGTGGGGCACAGCGCTCTGCCCGAGACATGCCTCGTGTCCCGGCTCCTCCTCGCGCCCGCAGTTAGTGGGCAGGAGGGAGGGCAGAGGCTGTTGTGCCGGGGAAGGGTGGGGGCAGTACCCGAAAGGAGGGCAGAGGGGTGCGGTGGGGCACCCGAGGGGGGAAGGACACAGCTTTAGGAAAGCATTTCGAGCTCAGTTTTGACTCTGCCTGATATGCGCTTCAGTAGCACGTAGTTCTCCCAGTTCTTCGGAGAGAACAATGAAAACAACAAAAAAAGCAAGTTATTATCTGTGAGCAAATCTAGTAAGTGAACTAAGCTACTACTTGCTAACCCCATGTTTCTGGGGTTCAGGACTGCTGAGGGTGTGGCAGTTCAGTGACAGGTTTTCTGTTTTCCCTAATTAGTGAGCAGCATCTATGGTCTGCTGTAAACAGGATGAAAAATTAAGAAAGTTGTTAGATACCATAATATGTTCCTTTAAATTATAATAAATATTATTGCTACACTTGTAGGTTCAAAAAGTGCTCCTGTGGCTTGTTATGAGGAACTCAACAGTCAGCGGGACAGATTTGGACACTGTGGGTTCCAGCCCAGGCAAGGCTATAAGTCCTGTGCTTGGAGGTATGCTCTAGGGAGAGGGCACTTGCTCCTCTAAAAATGCATATTTAGTTGGGATTTACAGTCAAGGGAAGTATCAAGACTGCAGTTGATAGTAAGATTTGCGAAGCAATAAATAGTTACGTGTGTGTTCTCCTTGTTGGTAGTACGGTGTCTCTCCTTACGTCACAGATCGTCTCTTGGACTTCCCAGTCCTGCTTATTTTTCCTTACCGTGCAGTGCTCCAGATTTTGTTGTGCTGTTTAATGTTTCTAGTGTTTCATCAGGTAGCATACGTATACATATGTATATGTGTGTGATACATGCATCCTATGCAAATTGATTTTATAGGAATCTCAGATGTGGAAAGCTAATCTGCACATACCCGTACAGCACTCCATTTCCATCAGACGCCGCTGCTGTTCTTTACGTCCAAGTGCGTGAGCATTTATGTGTATCTTTGGACTATTTGAATGCACCACCAAGGCTGGATCCTCTTCTGGTTCCGCCAGGTACAAAGTGTGGTTCTGGAAAGGTGAGAAAACGTTTTATAATCATCTAAAATGCCAGTTACAAATTGTAAATATCAACAAGGTTTTAGAAATACTTGTTTCTTTGCAGCCTAAGTGTACTTGGTATTTACAAACACTGTAAAAACATCCAAATATAACATTAAATGTTTGCCATGATGTAAGCATTAGACATAACCCAACCCAAGATAGTAACTGTAGCTTTTTAAAAGCACTGTTGTTGTTCTTTTAGAAGTGGTATATTTTTACTCCCCTTCAGGACTTGAGACTGATGGACCGAGCGCTGCGACGGTAAAGCAATTGGAACTGTCGTGGTTTTTCCTAGGTGTGCATAAACAACACTTGTCACCCACACTCGGTCCTGGGATACGACTGTGACAGCAAAGTGAAGTGCCACGGCCACGGCGTAAGTCACTCCGGGCAGCGCGCGTGGTGCTTTGTCATAAAGGTTTGCCATGGCTTGCGTGGGAACTGGTCAAAGACCCATTTTAGGCTGATTACAAAATCGTGGCCTTGTCAGCCAATACACGGAGTAAAACCATTTAAACTACTGGTCCTAAAACCAATCTCAAAATATAATGACAGTTTTTATTCACTGAAATGGAGAATTTGGTGGTTTGTTTGGTCTATGGAGGGGGAAAAAAAAAAAAGCGAAATGGAAGTGTCCTGGTTTCAGGTGATTAAACCACGACGTGAAGGAACACAGAATTGAGGGCAGCGGAGCTCGTGTAGATAAAAATGTTGCATGGTTGCAGGGAGCGCGAGAGCTGCGCCGTGGTGCGAGGGCTGCCGGGCCTCCGGACCCCTGCCCGGCCTGGAGTGCTGATAGCCGGGGCAAGCTGCTCCCGGTTTGTGCTCATCAGACAGAAATGCACGTGGGTTTTGCAGGAGGGTGATGTTTTATGCTTGTTCAATGTCTCAAGGCTATTGGAGCCTGCGCTGCACAGCGCGTTCCTTCTCTGATACGCTTCCTAAATTGCCAGAGTGCCGATAAGTGCGCATAGCCTTGTCCCAGCGCGACCAGTGGCAGCGAGACTGGTGCTGGAGAGCCCGTTGCATGAATTCATGGCAAACTTTCACCACCCACCCCCGGGCTTCTCAGGTGTGCAATAACAGGCGACGTTGCCACTGCCACCCTGGCTGGAAGCCCCCCGACTGCCGACGGAAGGGATCCCACTCGGGGGGGAGCGTC